TATTTACGGAGACGGACAGGAGATTGAGATGTGTCCGTGGATCTGGATTTTGGCTCGGTACGAAAGTTGCGAAAAGCGGGTGTCTATACAGGACAACGGTAGACCGTCACCAGGGAGCCGTGCCCTCAGCCGGTGGGCGTGACGTCGTCGATGGCCTCCAGCGTACGATAGCGTTCGGTCAGAAACGTCTAGCTCGTTCCAAGTTGGAACTTTGGCCTTGTTATAAATAGATTGCTCCTACATGGAAAGCGTGGCTTTGGAAGCTTGGAGGAAATCATATACACGAGGTGAGAGTCTTGAACTTGAAAATAAAACATATCTAAGGCGGTCAGGTAATTTTGAATGGTGAATTGCAGTTCTTTCAAAGCGACTCCGGACTCTAGGGAGACTCTGGATGTTGAAAAGGATTTTCAACTGGCTGTTGACCAAGACCGCCGATCCTCGAAGCGGTCGGTGAGGCTTCGCCAAGCTGAGACGAACCCTTCATTGGTGAGAGGAGCTTTGGAATCAATGGCGTGCGCATCGCCACTTGTTTTGGATAGTAGGTGGAACAATTTCTCCACCGGGTTAAGACGCGAGCTGTTAATATATATATCGCAGTGAACAGGTCTCTGAACGTGGGCCAGAGAAGATAGTCACCAGTCCATCGGTGGCAGCCGACCCGCAGAAGGGGCTGGTTGAAAATTGTCGGAAGTCTGAGTGGACCTTCTCTGCTGCTTCTTGAAGTTGAGCAACACATCTTGAATAGACGGAGTAACAATCGTTGTACTTGGATTCAAACACTTTCGGGGTGGCCGTACTATTAGCGAAAACGGAAAGAAGTTCGGAGCAGCTCTCGTAGCTTTTTTTCACTTATTCCCATTTATTTTAGAATAGATTTAAATATAGATGGTAGCTCGGGCAAATGTGTGTTAATTTACGAATTTTAAATCGATGTATTTTTCCCTTAATATTTGATTTCTATTGCGTAGCTCGGACGTGGAGGTTTGCTTATATATTTTGCTCCGAACATTGGTCACAAATACTGGATATAACTTATAATAAATTAAAAATGAATTAATTAATTACTGATTTAGGAAAGTATTAATCGGAAGTAATTAATTATTGTCAAATTAATTTATTACGGAGCCGAAATTGTGGGAAGAAACCTTTGGCATCTATTCAGGAGAAAAAAACTCAGAACTAAACGGCAAGAACAAAAACACGGCCGCTGCGGCGGCTAAGTTGAAAAAATTGAGAAAAATAATCGCGGTGGCTTCCGTGCGGGTTTAAATTCAAATTCTGGACCTATTGCCAGATGTTGAACTATTTGTTAATTAAGAAAATTTTCAGCCGCAGATATTTAATAATTTCAGCGCCGGAAAGGTGGAATTAAATAACATCAGTTTTTGGTAGCGGAGAAAAAGTTCACTGGGTTATGCCGACGGCAAATGGTGCGTATGTGAAGGACCCAAAGAACTAAACGGTAATAACAGAAAAACAATTAAAAAACACTCATGTGTTCGTTTGGGTTGTATTGGTGATTGTTTTGCTCACTTTTAATTGTTAAATTATATTATCCGGATTTGTTAATAGAATCGGAGGCGAAAAATATATGGGCATGTATGTAAATAAGAACAATGCGTAAGGGCATGTATTAGGCACAGTGGAGCGTCGAGAAGTGGACTTTATTGAATTGCGAGAATAGTGGATGGACAATGAGAAAACGAAAGAAACGGCGAGAAGGCTGGCGGCGCACACATAACGGACACGGATGGAAATTTTTGACAATCGGAGATGAAGAGAAATATAAAATTTTCAACTGCTGTTGTGTCAGGAAAACTCACATTTGAACACATTTAAAATTCGGAATTGAGAAATTTTGACTTTGACAAATAATGAGAAATCTTAAAAAATCATAGGACCTTGTTTAAACATTTTTGCACTTTTAAATTAAAATATTTCGAAAGCCTGATCCATAAGATTTTTTTCGAGGCCAGATTCCATTTAAACTCATTAAAAACCTTCGGTAAAATATATTTCGGTTCTTGGCTCTCAGTTTTTTTTTTATTTTGCAAGAGACCCGAGTGAAATCAGAATTTTATTTGAATACTTTCTGTACGATTGTAAGTACATTGTAAGCATGTGAAACCTCAGGAGTGTTCCTTTTAGAATTATCTGTAATTCCGACAATTAGACAACCAAAACATGGTCCAATCCAACACACAGCTTTTAACAGCGACGATAAATAAATCCGCTAGGAAAACGGGTACCTGGAAAACATATGGAGCCCGCTGGACCCTTCGGGTTCCCAGCAGCCAGTGTCTCTTCACCTAGATTTGCATCCAGCGCGGTAGACCCAGCTGCCAGCTAGGACATCTGTATTTTCCTTTTAAAGGCTTGGGATAGTCTGTCTATGTCTATGAATTTTGTTGCTGGTTTGCTTGTTAGGAGATTGCTTTTGTTTTCTTATGTGCTGATTATTGGGGAAGACCTTGGGAATATGGAGATTAGAATAAGGAAGTGGTCACTTCTTCTTCTAGGACCTTTCACGAGATTTCTTGGGATGTTTCGAGTGAGTGGTCAATATGAGTATGTTACTCTTCGTTGTGAAGTGTGGAGGGGACTTAACTTTAAGTAGTAAGTTCTGTCAATAAATTTAGGCTTAAGTTGATACTAAAAAAGACTTTAAAAATATTTTTTCGGCATCCTACCTTACTATTATATTAATCGACTTAAGCCTAAATTTATTGACAGAACTTACTACTTAAAGTTAAGTCCCCTTCACACTTCACAACGAAGAGTAACATACTCATATTGACCACTCACTCAAAACATCCCAAGAAATCTCGTGGAAGGTCCTAGAAAAAGAAGTGACCACTTCCTTATTCTAATCTCCATATTCCCAAGGTCTTCCCCCAATAATCAGCACATAAGAAAACAAAAGCAATCTCCTAACAAGCAAACCAGCAACAAAATTCATAGACATAGACAGACTATCCCAAGCCTTTAAAAGGAAAATACAGATGCCCTAGCTGGCAGCTGGGTCTACCGCGCTGGATGCAAATCTAGGTGAAGAGACACTGGCTGCTGGGAACCCGAAGGGTCCAGCGGGCTCCATATGTTTTCCAGGTACCATTGTGGAGTCAATAAAGACCAAGTGGCCAACTCTACTTGCTGCCATACACCCCCACACCACCACACTGCCACCACCGTGCTTAACTGTTGGAGCGAGCTTCTGCACATCAAGGGCTGTGCCAGGTTTGCGCCACACAAGTTTTCGCCCTTTTATGCCAGATAGGCAAAATTGGCTCTCATCACTAAAAATAATCATTTTCCCAAAGGCTAAAGGCTCTTGGATGAATTTTTTAGCAAAATCCACGCACTCCTATTTATTGACGGGCAATATGAGAGGCTTCTTCGGCGCAGCACAGGCATGAAATTCCTCCTTTTCAAAATTTTGCGGACTGTGTCATCATTTAAATCCTTCTTCTACTTCTCCTTTATATCCTGGCCAATTTTTGCGGCCGTTAACATAGGATTACGCCCACAGCCCATGATTTTTGGTTGCAACAGGATAATGACCCCAAGCATACTTCGCTTAGTTTGAAGCTATGGTTGCTTTTTTATACCAAAAATCAACTGCATTCATCGCCTCAGTCGCAGGACTTAAGCCCCATAGAGGATCTGTGGGTTTTTCTGGAGCGCAGGATTCGTCTTCGAACAATTACATCGAAGGATACGTTGAAGGATGTGGTTTTGGATGAGTGGAGTAAAATACCACCAGAATTTACCGAAAAATTGGGTAATTCAATTCCAAAACGCTTAAAATGGGACAATAGGTAGAAATGGGTATCCTCCTTCTTACTAATTTTATCAATGCCTTAACAATAAATGGTTTTTTTTTATCTTGATTGAATTTTGTACGCACACTTTTTCTTGCCCGAAAACATGGGTATTTTTTGTTTTTTAATTTTAACTAAAAAAGTTGTGGACGGAAATAAAAAAAAGACTGGCTATAATTTTTAATAATTGATGTGTCGTTAATTTAAAAAAAAATTTAAGTCAATATCTTCCATAGAACTATTTTTATTTAACATCAAAGTTGCGCGTTAAGTTTGTACGCACACTTTTTCTGGTCAGTGTATATTAAGATTTTAAAGGCTTCAAAATAATTTCCCCAGAGTCGCTTGAGGTGTCAGAGTTGTGTTCATTTATTTTGGTGCTTCGCTATGGTATATTTTAAGAGTTTTTTCTTTGAAGATGTAATAGATGTCTTTAGTGGTTGAATTTGAATTGTAAGAGGTGCGTTGGTGTTGGTTGAGACGTTGCTGGTGTTAGTGTAGAGGTCAGCGTAGGAAGCAGGTGGAGGTCTGGAAGTAGATTATTTGGATTGGTGGCACCGAGTCAGTTGTTGAATTGTGCTTTCAGTTGTTGAGGTCCTATTGCTTTGCTGTATTGCTGCGGGTTTGGATTCTTGGCAATCGATGAGTATAAGTATGGTGCTTTGTTGGTGTTTGACTTGCAACTGTCTCTGCAGTTGAAATATATTTTGTTTGTTTATGCATTATTTATGGAGATTGCCGTATTTTATGTGCGTCCCAACAAGCATTGCTTTGTTGCATATTCGAGATCGCGGCGATGTGCGTCTCTATGACGCCAATTTCCGAAGCATTGTATTTGGTGAACGGCAGCCATGACATTTTAGCGCGGCATGCTAGCAGCTTCCAGGAAAGATTAACGAAAGAGCAGGAGCCTATTTTTTTTTTTAAAGATCTTTCGATGTTAATGGAGTTATTTTTTAAATTTTAATGAATTCTTTCCAGTATTTTCCTTATCGCTATAAATTGGTGGTTTTTTTTTGTATATTTATTAATTTTCTTAACTAACTTTACATTGGAAATGTATTTAAATTTCCATTAGACGTGCCGTATTTCATTTCATTCAGTCATTTTGGTCGCATAACCTATAGTGCTGTCAAAATGGTCTCACAATACAAATAGCTTTTTCCTGACAATTATATGTTGAAACTAAATCTAAATTCATTGATTCCTTATAATCCAATTTCAAATTGCAATGGTATAAAACAGTCCTCGTTCCGAAGAAAGCGTCTTTTTGTTTAACTTTTACTGTTGTCTGGGTTTATCTATTCCTGTGTATATAAGTGCAATTAATGAGTTTTTAAATCGATAGTTCTGTTTACGTTTCGACCTGTCCAAGCAGTCAATCGAATTTTGACGTGTGATATTTAGTTATTGAAGGCATAATTGCACATCACAGCACGTTGGAAATGGTATATAAGGTTGTTGCTTCAGCCCTTGACTATTACTCTTGGCCATGCGAAATGGTGAAGTTGCAGTCTGTTTTGGGCCTGCTGCTATATACGGTGTGTAGACCAGTAGAGACCAGGCTGGCATATCAAGCTTGCAACGAGCCTGATATCGCAATCGGTTCGTATGTTATTTATTACCGTGATAAAATTCAACCCAAGTTAATTAGTGGTCTGCAGGGCTGTCGCAAATAATCAGTGGCCTGCGACCACTCCCGCTCTCCATCTTGGCTCTGCCGGGATTGACTTTAAGTGATGGATACTGCCAAAACGATGCTAGTGGCATTCAGGTGAACGACTTTCTACAACAACTACATCGTCTCTACTACAAGTCGGTAATCTTCAATGACACGGAACTATTCTTTCATCATGTTGAGAAAAATCTCCATGGTGCTATTGAATGCGTCAACATGATTCTAGACAAACCAAAGGAGATATTAAAACATCTGCGACAGCGCCGCCTGGCCCACCGTCTTAGCCTGTTTATATTCTACTGGGGAGCCCGATGGCCACCAAGACCACACACTTTGCACTTCGAAGAGCCGATGCGCGTAGTGGTTATAACCCGACCCCGTCATAAAGCCTTCCGCATCTACTACAATCAGGCGCGTCCTGGAAGCGATAGTCAATTACGTTTGGTAAACTGGTATGATGGCGATAATCTAGGACTACAGCAAATTCCTCTACTTCCGGCTGCTTCATCCGTTTACGCAAACTTTGAGGGTCGTGTTTTCACTGTTCCAGTATTTCATGTAACGTAGCGTAATTTTCGAAATGATATTTTAAAGAAAGATGTTGGATGTAATTGCTTGCAGTCCCCGCCATGGTTCTGGGTTACATACGGTAATAATTCCAGCGATACAGACAAAGAGCTTTTAAATCTTGACAGCACGGATTATAATGAGATGCGAGTTACGGGCGGCCGAGACCACCGTCTGTTAATGCTATTGGCCCAGCATATGAACTTCCGGTTCAGGTACGTTGAAGCGCCCGGACGTACGCAAGGCTCATTGAGATTCGATGATGCCAAAGATTTGAATGACAGCTTCACTGGTGGCATTGGTCTGCTTCAGAGCGGTGTAAGTAGCTCGAGACTGAAACCGTGCTACCTGACGTTCTATCGTGATTTTTTTTTTCAGCAAGCGGATTTTTTTTTGGGAGACGTTGGTCTCAGCTGGGAGCGCCGTAAGGCTATTGAATTTTCGTTCTTTACCTTGGCTGACTCGGGAGCCTTTGCCACACATGCCCCTCGGCGTCTCAATGAAGCCCTGGCCATCATGCGCCCCTTCAAGCAGGACATTTGGCCATATCTTATCCTTACAATCGTTTTCTCCGGGCCCATATTTTATGGTATTATCACTATGCCATATATATGGCGTCGACATCATGTGAAATTAGATGAGGAACAGCTGGGGTATAACTGCATCTACATGACCTACATAAAAGAAATAACCCCAGGCCATGTAATGGTCAAGCTGAAGAAAATTAAAGTTCCGATTGTCCAACAAATGCCTAATCAACTCTTCGAAAAGTGTATTTGGTTTACGTTACGTCTTTTCCTCAAGCAGTGTAAGTGATTTACTACCCAAAGCCCTTAAGGTCTGCTAATAGCTATGCACTTGTGTTGTTTTATGCACAATACTTTTGGACCTGGTTGAGTATACTCGACTGTAGCGCTATTACTTGTGTAAAAAAAAATATTTAATTGAAAACTTCTTCATTGATAAAATATTTTATTACTGTAAGAATCAAACCAATTTTACCTAGAAAAAAACTCGGTCTTGATAAAACATCATTTTACGAAAAGTTGCAGGGTATTATAATTTTAGTCAAAAGCTTGCAACGCAACCATTTCCGATCTTATAAAGTGTATATATTCCTGATTACCACCAACAGTCGAGTCAATATAGTCTTGTCTGTGTCTGTGTGACTGTCCGTTTCAACCCAAACTAGTCCTTTCCCTGCAGTATCGCATGTCATCAACCCGCCGACTGCGACTTCTACCGAGGCGATGCTCTGCCGACTGCGACTTCTACCGAGTCGACGCTCTGCCGACTGCGACTTCTACTACGACGCTCTGCCCACGATACAGTTACGGCGGTAGTCTAGACGGCGGTCGTCGACAGTACCATGGCCCGGCCGTTGAGAAATTTGTTGATGACACATCTATGATTTGTTGATGAAACATCGATGAATTGTTGATGAATAATCGATGAATTTATGATGAATTTGTTGATGAATCATCGATGAATTTTTTAAGGTTTTTTTTTATGACAGCGTAGGACATGCTCATGTTAAATTCCATCATCCATCAACAACACCGCCTTGACTGTTGATGAAACGTTGATGAATTACTGATGACTGGTACTGCAGGGTTGCTATTATCACTAAAATGTATGTGTGAACAGGAGAATACAACTTATAGGAAGGATCGGAAAATTAATAAATAAAGAAATACAAAGTACAGCTTTGTTGTTTTTCAACAAAGTTTAATCTATTTTGAGACAAGACACAGTTTTTATACACTTTCAGGGTATTATAATTTCAGTCAGTAGTTTGCAACGCAGTGAAGGAGGCACCTCCGACTATATAAAGTATATATATTCTTGATCAGGATCAACAGCCGAGTTGATCTAGCCATGTCCGTCTGTCCATTTTGAAGCTATCTGAATGAAACATTTAGTTAGTCTTCTATATACTCTCACTCGTATATATGTCGAAACAGGCCGGATTGGACGTCATAAACCTGCAATAGAAATGATCGGACGTACATCATAAACCTGCCATAAAAATGATCGGAACATTTTTACAAAAAAAATTATAACATATTCGGTTTTCAACAGAATTTAATCAAATTTGGGATATGGCCATTTCTATTATTCTACAATTTTAAATTCTAAATTTTATGAAAATCAGACAACTATATAATATATCTCCCATAGGAACGATCGAGAAATTAATAAAATTAAAAATTTAAAGGTTTTCAGTTTTCATCAGATTTTCATCAAATTTGAGATATAGCCATTTTATATCAGTCTTAAATTCTGTGTCAAATCTTATAAAAATCCGATGACTACATCATATAGGTGCCATACAAACAATCGTTAGATGTGGAGCAAAAATGCAAATCTGTGAATGTAAATGTGCAAATATAATGTGTATAGGTGAATGAAATGAAAGCAGGTATTAATTCATTGTTTTTGAACATAAATATATATAATTTATATTGTATGGATTCCTAGTCATCGAAGTTCTATCTGCAAGGGTATATAGGCTTCGGCGTGCCGAAGGTAGCTTCCTTTCTTGTTTATTTTAGAATTTAAGTAAATTAAAGTTGATTTAGTTGATTTTCAACATATTTCCTTTATTGGTTAAGAATTACGATTATAATTGCATGTATATATTCAGTATTTAAGGGGTAATTTTGAAAGAGCTTTCCTACTTTAAAAAGAAAAAAAAAACATCTAAAATTCATAAAAATTAGTGAAATCTTTATTTGAATCGATAGTATGGTGAATATAATTTAATGTTTAAAGATAATTTCATTTAAGGTTTGCCACGACTTCGCCTTAAATACTCCTCCTTAATTTTGGCATACTCTCCAACATTTTTGCCGGTATCTCGCTCATGAAAGCTTCAATGTTAGCTTCCAATGGTCAATTTGCTGCGGGCTTGACCCTATACACATGAGCCTTGACATGGCCCCACATAAAAAAAATAAAGGCGTTAGATTATACGATCTAGGCGACCAATTGACAAACTGTTAACTATAAAAACTAGGGCTGCCAAAAAGAAAGTTGCTAAAAAATCCCCTTATATAAACTGCAGATACATTTAATATGTATGTATAGGTAAATGCAAGTCTATATTAGTTATTAGATATATTTATTATTTTACGAATGATCGAAATCGGATTATTATATGTTATATAATTGTTTTATATATGTACCTTATATTAGTTTTTATTTTCCTTTGACTACAATGTATCCATTCTTAACGAATGAACTTTCGCTTTTAAAGAAAGGTTATAAAATCGCGGCATGCCGATGTTTCCTAAATTTCTTATTTTCTTTTTTCATGCTTTACAGCACCTTTGTAGATCGGTTATTTCTCCATGTCAACATGGTTTTATTAAGCGAAGATCAACAACAACAAATCTTTTGGAGCTCTCTTCCTATATTATAAAGGGCTTCCATAATAATTGTCAGACAGATGTAATCTATACTGATTTCAGTAAAGCATTTGACTCTGTTAATCATTCTCTCCTCGTTAGAAAACTCGATTCAATGGGTTTTCCAAGTGATCTTCTTAATTGGATCTCTAGTTATTTGAATGGCAGGACGCAAAAGGTCCTCTTTAAGAATAATTTATCCAATATTCTAAGGGTTACATCTGGCGTCCCGCAAGGAAGCCATTTGGGACCCTTATTGTTTACATTGTTCATAAATGACCTGCCCAAAGTCTTGACTAACTCCAGAGTACTTATGTACGCGGATGACGTCAAGCTTTGCGTGCAATACAATGACGTTGCCTGCCAGTCGGATTTACAAACAGATCTTAATAATTTTCAAACTTGGTGCCGTGTAAACTTATTAAACTTAAATGGCTCGAAATGCAAGCTAATGACATTCTCTCGTAACGCTCCTAAGCTTGCTACTTACACGCTGAACGGCTGCTCTTTGGAAAGGATTATTACAGTTGACGATTTGGGCGTCCGCTTGGACCCAAAACTTGACTTTATTGATCATATTTCGTCTATGGTGAATAGAGCCAGGGGTGTGCTTGGATTTATTAAACGGTGGTCGAAGGAATTCAATGACCCCTATGTTACTAAATCCTTATATACTTCCTTAGTTCGTCCTATCCTAGAATATGGATGCTGCGTTTGGAGCCCTCAGTACGGCGTCCATAGTAAACGCATTGAGTCGGTTCAAAAGAACTTTTTACTTTTCGCTCTACGCGGTTTAAATTGGGATGCAAACCAAAGATTACCTTCCTACTCTAGTAGACTCCTATTAATAAACTTGCCGTCCTTAGCCAATCGTAGAACGATGCTAGGGATAACCTTTATTTTTAACCTTATCCATGGTGATGTGGAAAGTGCTGACTTGTTGAGTCAGGACCTCCTTTGAACTGCATGAACCTTTAAGAGTGTTATGTGCAAATTATAATGATTTGTACACACTAATCTCTAACGTAGATTCCCTTCCCAAATTAAAATCTTTAATACTAACACACTTAGTAAGCATGCAAGCTAACAATCTGGCAGCACGCCGGTAGTCAATTTTCCTCGTATTCTGTCCTATATTTTCCATCGCGCCTACTAAACCCTAACCCAAACAGGCACGTGCCTGGTGTCATACGGGCCACTTGTATGTACTGACCTTAGTGCATCAACGTCCAAAAAGGAAAAAAAAAGAAGCTTAGTTTAATGTACAATATGTACAAAATAGCGTTCATAGGAAAATAGTCTCATCTAACAACAGTGACAAGTTACCGCAAGAACAACGATTGTCGATTAATTCAAACTTTACGCTCTGCTCAATCGTTTATTTTCAGCATGCCAAGAACTTTATCATGGCTATCGAGCCAAGTTTCTGACAATCGTTTACTGGATTGCTGCAACCTATGTCCTAGCTGATGTATACTCAGCCCAACTTACAAGTCAGTTTGCTAGACCCGCCCGAGAAACGCCAATCGATACACTTCAACGATTACAGGCGGCAATGATTCGTGACGGATACAGTTTGTACGTGGAAAAAGAGAGCAGCTCCCTGGAGATGTTGGAAAACGGAACTGAGCTTTTTCGGCATCTGTATGCGCTAATGAGGCAGCAGCAACCTGAGGGACGCCAAGGTTTCCTCATTGACTCTGTGGAGGCGGGTATCCAGTTGATCGCTAAAGGCGGTGAGGATAAGGCGGTACTAGGAGGCCGAGAGACGCTCTACTTTAATATTCAACAGTATGGTGCGCAAAACTTTCAACTGAGTCATAAACTCTACACGCGGTATTCGGCTGTGGCCGTTCAGATCGGCTGCCCCTTTCTGGATAGTTTGAACGATGTGTGAGTAAAATTGTAAATCTTTTTCTTTAAGCAGCAAAAAAAAACAAAATTAATATCGAAAAATTCATAAATTATTAAAAGATGCTACTTTTGAAGAGTTTAAAATATGTTGACTGAGAAGAGTTTGGTTTTTAATGGGTATTTTTTTTCTTCTTACTAAATTCTTTTTAAAATGTCCTCTTCATGTTCCTAAGCCAAATTTGAATTTAAACCCAATACTGGTCAATAAATAAAGCAAAATAAAAATTCAACAACAGCAAACAAGAGTAGAAAAACAACAAAACCCAGGTAAACATAACAGAAAATTTGAGTTAAAACGAAGAAACATCGTTGAAATTACATTTAATATAGACTAGGTCTAGCTGTAATATATTTTCACAAATCGGAAAGTGTGTAATAGTGAATGGCAAGATACTTTCCATATTTTTGGGTCTATCGATTGCAATGAGAAAATTGGTAGTTAATTGCTATGAACACTTTGAACACACGAACACTTCGCCACAAACTTAAATTCGTTAACCTTTAAAAAAAGAAATAATTTATTTTTAGAAACCGTTGCATCGTCAAGGGTTTTAAGAAACAATTGACCACTCTTAAAATACGCAAGTTTCTAAGAAATTTTAAAATAAGAGCGTGGGATAACTATCATGAATATGTTTTTCAGATGCTATAAATAAAATAACAGCACTCCTAGATCACAAAACAAAACAGGTAATTAGCTATATCGTTGATATTTTGAAGGTGCGTGATGACTTAATTTATATAGTACAGAACCTTTTAAAGAATTTAGAAGTCGATTTAGCAGATAGGGTGACAAGATAGGGTGACCACAAAGGAAAAAAAAACATTGTATTAAATGTGGATCCGTGGACCGCAGTTAAGTATAAAATGCTATATTTCTAATGGATCGGGCCATATTGTCAGAAACAACAAAGCCGAAAACAAAAATTTAAATGTAGTGTTAAAAGATCCCCAGGATTCCCTCTAGATAAATACTGGGACAGTAAAGGGGGTATATCAAAATTGATCGATATTTGTCGGGACTGCAAAATGCTCGTGGATAGTACTGTAATAAGAGTTATGTTACGTAACTATCTTTGAACTTCACGGTGTTTCTAGTCGTTTATAGGCCGGATTCCGTAGGCGTGATTTCCGAGGGGTCGCGCTGGATCGGCAGACCAACTACTAATCATGTCCTGACTGAGTGATAATGATTGGTGTTCTAATTGCGATCCCAGTCTGTCCTCAATGATCACGATCAGGACGGCACCAAATGTTTTCCACGTGAACTCCTGTCGTTCGATTACCGACCTATATAAACGCAAAACGTTTGGACGAACCTGTTACCACTAATACCAAATCTTTATGCGTCTGCGAGCTCAGGATTGCATTTCTAAAGCTTAAAGTAAACTTGGCGTATTGCCTTACAGCGTGTTTTTTGAATTAAGCGATCTGAAGCACAGGATTTGAAATAAAACTGTTCTTTTATTTTCAACTTATATTTTGTCCAATCTTAAGCCAGTTTTAAAGAATACCAATATTATTATTAGTATTTGGTCTGCCGATTCAGCGCGTCCCCCCAGAAATAATTTTTATTCATTTTGCGGCGGAGCTGCCAAGTGCAAACCGAGAGATCCGACACTGCATCGGTTTGCCTTTGCTTTCGGATCGTGCTTCTTAGTAAGGTAACTCTACGTCGGTTTGTCCTGCGTCCAGGTGCCTGGATTTACGGTGATGGGCTTTGTGTCGTTATATAATCGTACAATGGCGGTGGGGATGGCAACGGCGGCTGGTGTTGGTTGGGGCAGTTTTATTCTGTTCCATAGTATATGGAGTCTGATGTGTTCTCTTAATGCTCCTTGAGAGGAACGTAGATATGTACCTAGAAATAGTAAAAAAAAGATATCCTCTGACGTTGGCGGATATCTCATCTTCGCGTCCCTAACATGGGTGAGGTGTAGGGTGTTTCAACTTATAGCTCGGAGCAATCTAGTCGAAAAATGTTTTGGGTAACTTTGGTTGTCTTCCTTGTACTACAAAATCAGGATTAAACCCTGTCGTTTCTGAGTTCGAGTTCATATCCAATTCCGACAAAAGCTTCTGTTATGCTCAGATCCCTATAAATATAATTCCAACATTCTCCGATTTCCCCTCTCCGTTAGTTTTAAAGCCATGTGTATTTGATTCCTATGTTCTTACAAAATGCTTGATTACCACCAACAGTCGAGTCCATATAGCCTTGTGCGACTGGGTGAATGTCCATTTCTGCAATTCCCGCACACGATGGTATAAGGTATTCTGAAATGACTCAAGATCCTATTGCTAAATTAAATCTCTGGTCGCTGCCCGGAGTTAGACATAGTCTACCCATCCTCATATAAAGTTCTACCGCACTCCGTCTAGAAATGGCGGTCTTCCCGTTTTTTTAATTAGTGACTTCTAATTTAACTTACATGTATTAGTTCCGATTTATGTATATTCGAAACTAAATTATCAGGGGATTCACAATGCGACTGAATGACTGACATTTTGGTTCCCTCCTATATAATCTAAATTAAACTTAAACTTAAACAGCTGCTAATATTTTCAGTAATTCAGTCTGAAAGCGAGTCCCCCTAATAGGTTAAGTTAGTTTAAACCGGACGGGCCTCCTAAGGGCGCCAATCATAGGCCAGTATGGCCCTTATTTATCTGGATGTTGTTTTCACATGGTAGTTTGCGGTAGTTTTTGCAAAGGCAAGTAGTTCACCTGGCGACCTCTTGGAGGCATCTACTAGTGATGCCAGTACTGGGGCACCTAAGTCCTTTACTCTTGCCTGCGTTAGGGCTGGGCACTTACAGATGAGATGCTCCAAAGTTTCGGTTGCCTCAGATTCATCGCATTTCCTGCAGTTGCCGCTATTGGTGATGCCCAGCTTGACTGAATGCGCGGCAGCCAGGCAGTGACCCGTAAGCACTCCCACTAGTAGTCTGCAGTCTTTTCGGGATAGATGCAGAACGAAGTGGCTGAGTTTGTCATTGCTCTCTTTGCACATGCTTTTAGTTGTTTTGCAAGTCGCAGAGTTTCCTCTCCACCTACTTTTTGCTCGTACGTCCGCCCGCCTCTCTAGTTCGTTTTGGAGCATTCTTAGAGAGACTGGGACGTTTTCTGTTCTATCAACAGCCAGTCCGACTTCTTCCTTTGCCAGTTCATCTGCGATTTCGTTTCCCTCTATGCCCTGGCGGCTGGGAACCCAGTAGATTCGCACTGACATTGTCGTGCTCAGGATATCTAGAGCGTCCCTGCATGCCAGTACATTTTTGAAACTGTCCGCTGACGATTGCATGGATCTAATCGCCGCCTCATATGGGCGGGCTACTTCCTGCGCAAGCTCTGCCACCTTCCTGATGGCGAAGACTTCCGCCTGGAATATGCTGCATTGACCTGGTAGCTTATACGACAACCTCGTCTCGGGGTCTGTACAGTATATGCCCGGTTCAACTCCTCCTTCCATCTTAGAGCCGTCAGTGTAAATATTGAGGTATCGAGCGTGGTCCTTCAGGTCCCATAAATGTTGATGTTTTCACATCCGGGCAAGTTCTAGGCGTCATGTAGTCAGATACACTGCTCATGGTTCGACCAATTGAACTGTGTGTGTATCCTTTTGTTGATATACTTCCTGGCGCTACTAGGCACTGTGGATCAATTCCAAGTATCGTCTTTCGAGCTTTTGTGGGGGTTGACCTCTCTCCATAAGCATTTTGAAGATCCTCTTTGCCACCACACTAAGACCCCGTATAGCAGAGTCGGACGCACCACCGATATGTAGACCCAGTGCATCAGAGCGGGTGAGGCCCCATGTGCTGCTGAGCATCTTCTTGGATGCATATAGCGCTGGTGGCCTTTTTCACCCTCTCTAGTACATTGGCTTGCTGTCCATGCCAGCTTACTGTCCAGTACAGTGGCCAGGTATTTAACTTGTGTTTTCGGGGTCAGCCTGGTTGACTTTATTTTTGGGGGGATCCATGGCCGTACCTTGTATCTCTTTGTGAAGAGAATGAGGTCCGTCATATCCGCATTGATATTGAGTCCTACCTTGTCCGTCCACTTACATATCTCCCTGAGTGTTGATTCCATGATCGAGCTAAGGGTCGATGGACATACTCCCGTGATAATTATGCTTATGTCGTCAGCACAAGCTGTTATCTTTGGCTGTTAGGAGGGGCGATAGGACTCTCCCTTGCGGCGTGCCTCTGTGCGCTCCTTTTACCATGGAAGCGGTGCCCCAATCCGATTGTAGCCGTCGGCAACTTAATAGATTTCCGATCCAAAAGTTGATGGCGGGGTGCGTGTTAGTCGCTCCTGGGTGCTCCATTATTGCGTTTGTGCTTACATAATTGAATGCCCCGGATATGTCTACGAAGACTCCAAGCGCATATTCCATGTTGTGCAGGGCTCCCTCAATGGTGGCTACTATTGAATGCAGCGCCGTCTCCACTGATTTCCCTTTTGTATATGCGTGCTGGTTGGTTGACGGTGATCTGCCCACATCGTTTCTGGTGTATAGGTCCAGCAGCTTTTCAAGCGTTTTGAGTAAAAAGGAGGTGAGGCGAGAGGTCCTTGTTCCACCAGGGTGGTCTGGTCCTTTTCTTGCTTCTTGAAATCGGGCATGATGCGTGATATGCATCCAGTAATTCGTTTGAGAGGGTCCCCGGGATGGCGTTTTTTGAGGCGCAGGTATACGCTACCCATGCCCCACGCTAACTTCCCGTATCTGGGATACAGGATGTCCTCTGCTCCTTGTTAGTCTAGAGAACTGCGCATTGGCTGCCCTCTTTGTGTAACGGCTGACCCCATTGAGCCACCCGGCACCATCGAATGTGGGCATGGGCGCTATAGGGTCTTCCTCCATCTGTGTGACTAATGACTCCACGAGCCGCGCATGCACTGTCCTCCACCGCGCCTCGGTCATCTTTTCATTCTCATCGCTCCTTTCAATGAGTGCCACGATCAAATGTCGCTTG